GCCTAACGGGCCGGTGTGCGCACGTGCACACTGCCCGTTCAGCATTGCAGTCACCGGAAGCCCGCCCCTCAGGGGGGCGGGCTTCTGATGATCGCAGGTACGATCTGCCTGTCCAAGATGGGCAGATCGTACGTTTTTTTTAAGTACTTTACAACCCTCGCAAGACAAAAGTCTTGCGAGGGTTGTAATGTGTATGGCCACCTTACCTCATATGCAGGTCTAATATTTTGTTTTTCCTGCTTCTTTTATATTCATGGAGGGGGATTGATCAAAACTGGAGCAGAGAAAATCTGGAGCAGTTGCCCATGGCAACTAATTGGCTTCTCTCTTTCATTTTCAAATCTTAACTGAACAAACTGAAGAGAAACGCTGATTGTTTGTCATGGGCAACTGCTCCAGATTCTGTCTGCTCTAGTTTTGATAAATTCCCCCCCCCTGGCATTTTTCAACACACACACAAAGAGGGGAATTTATCAAAACTGGAGCAGACAAAATCTGGAGCAGTGGCCCGGGGCAACCAATCAGCTTCTTCAGTTTCTACAGTTAAGATTTGGAAATGAAAGAGAGAAGCTAATTGGTTGCCATGCACAGCTGCTCCAGATTTTGTCTGCTCCAGTTTTGATAAATTCTCCTCATTTATTCTTCTGTTTTTCTCCCTTTACATCTTCTACCCTTTCCACTGCCCCCTGCTATATAGGCAGTAATATTCCCTTTTTCACATATTTTTTCTCCCTCAGTAATACACCTGACTGACTCAGCTGTGACATTACTGCTGAGTGGTCTACTTGTGTTGTCAGTGGGGGTGGCTAACCTCGAACTTCACATTATGGTCTCAGAGGGTCCAAAAAATGAGAGAGACAGTAGAGGAGACATTTTTGGTGAGGAACAATTGTGTGCTATGATGGATGAGACGGTCAGCAGGACCATTTCCAAGGCTCTGATATCTGCCACAGCAGATTTCTCGCCATGCCATACACTAAGGAGAGTAGGCGTAAGAGATTAACCCCTGGTACTCCGTCTGATATTTGTTGGTCTGCTGAGGACTCATCCTATGTTTTTGCAAATATCTAGCAAGCAGTAGATATATTCAAAACATTTTTAAAAAGTCACCAAAAAGGGTTTTACTTACCCGTGTCTCCGCAGCTCGCTCCCGTCCGAAGATCTGAAAAATTCTCGAGCGGCCGCGAAGGATCATGCAGCGGGCGCACGCAGCCGGGAGACGAGGAGAGACACAGGGTAAGTCAATGCAGCAGCCCAGCAGCATGCACTTGCACAGACGCCGTGGGACACAGAAGACACAGCAGTCAGTGATGGATCAGAAACCGGCACCAGTGCTGGAGAGATTGCTGAAAACTATTGGAAAGAAGATGATCGGATCAAGAGGCATCATTTAAGGTCATAAGTCCCTAAAGTAGTATTCGGGGGGGGAGGGGGATTATATCCTTTATTGTGACTTTAACTCTGACAGGTACAATTTTCATAGTGGGAGCTTGGAGGGCTCCTAAAGTTTTCCTTACCTCAATTAAGAAAAAAATCTCATGGATAATGACAAAAAACTGTCTAGCTATTAAAGAACAAACACCACCAATCTAAGAGCACCGGGGATCCTTCAATATAAACCCTCCTGGAACACCTCTTTTCTTCCATTGGTCTCCCCCATCCTTTCTTTTTTTTCCCATCATCTTTTCTGTCATTCGTTTTGCTTACTGACCTATACAATTCACCACGAACTCGGAAAGTGTAGGCACTGCATAAAACAACGCTCCTGTTACTTTTGCTGCCCTCAAGTGCATTGGGCTAACAGCATATTGTCATACTTAAAACAATGACTTTTCTGGTTGTTGTATTAAACTTTATTAACAAAACCAATAAACAGACATTGAAAGAATGACTATTCCATTCCATCTTATTTACTTCTGTCATTGTTCTCTGAGAAGCTCGGTAGATATTGTGCAGTATACATTTTGGTCTCTAGATGGAGACAAAGCTCTCCTTCAATGTTTATAAAGTGCCACAAACCAATTTACCTGCATGGATTTTATAATCACAATTGATATTCATATACAAGCACATTGTGTCTTTTGAAAGCATGAGCCTACACATTTTAAAGCATATAGCTTCCCATTTCATATTCATAGACCAGTTTGATCAATATGTTTGCTTCACTAATCAAGCCTTAGAGAAAACTTGAACTCCCTAAGAATGCAGTAAACTGGCAGCTGAACACAAATTTAGATACCTAAAGGTACCTGCACATTGCACAAGACGTCTGCCTAAGCTCTAATATACAAAATATGACTTCCGTTGTTAAGCATTAAAGCTAAACTCCAGGCAGATATAAAAGACACAAATTAATGCAGGTCTGAATTTATTAATACATAATTACATGTATTTTTAAATGCAAGCAGTGCAAGTATCTAAATTTGACCCGGTATCAACCTGCTGCAGTGAGTAAGAAGCAGCACAAGTAGCCAATCAGTTCATGTGCTGATAAGCAGCAGGAAGAAGAAGTGACAGAGATGATGAGCTTATCATTTATTATCCCCCCAGTTTTTTGGTAAATTATCAAAGTTGGGGTCACGTCGGGTAAATAGACACCAAACATGTCAAGCCTTTAAATTGCGCGCGCCCGCAAAATAGCAGAAAACGACCACACCCAAAATTGGCCATAGGTAACGCTTTAAAAGCTTTTACCACTCATCAGTTTAGTGTTATTAGTGAATAATGGTCCTAGAATTATTGCTCACACTCCGACATTCACGGTGATATGTAACATGTGCAGCACAATAGGCGGAATCATCGTTTTCGCACGTAGGCGCACCTGGCGCATGTTTGCGTGTGTATGTGGGGAACAAAAAAATGTTGTGTTATTTTTAAAAAAATGTAAGCTTCTTTATTTTTTTATGATTTAATTTTTTTCAAACTTTTTTTTTACACTTAACTTTATAGCTATCACATAGGGGGCTAAGAAACCCCCCTATGTGATAGCCAATTCCCATAACAGGTCCTCTTTATGGAGACATCAGGGGTCCCAAGATCCCTAATGTCACCTAGGCACCCCCAGAGAAGCTGATGAAGCAGAGATCTGCTTCAGCAGCTTCTCACCGACATCTGTTGCTGGCAGTGTCGGAGCTAAGGAACAAAGGGCCCTGGTGCAAGATTTTTTTTTTGGCCCCCCCCCC